CGAAAGAGTGGCAGAATTGTTGACTGGCTGCACGTTGTAGAGGCAGGAATGAGAAGTGGCAATCCTTCTGTCAGCTTCAGAAGACTAACCTGTATGGAGGGACTAATACCATGTTTCACTTTGCCCTGTTTAATTCCCCCTTGTGCCTTGATCCTTTTTTTTTTTTTCTTTAATGTCATAGGAAGAAGAGAGGCAGTAAAGCAGATTTAGACTGGAAAAAAAAAAAAACACAACAGGAAAAATTGTATGTGGGTAAACCCCTCTCTCCCACCTCATTCTTATGTGTTTTATTTTAAACATCTTCCTATTCAGTCAACACCATTTGTCATGAAGATACTCTTGACTGCTGTTCTTCTTCCTTGTCATGGCTTTCTAGCCATGCATGTACTGAAGGGCTGTTTAGTCTGCCTAGAGAAGTGAATTACACCTGCCCCTATCACAGCCACAGTGGCTACCAGGAGAGGATAGGAAGAAGTAGTGAAGATACAGGCAATGATCAGAAGGTGGGGCAGAAGTTATCACTGTCCCTTCAGGGTCATCTCTAGATATGAGAGGTATGGCCATATTTATTTATTTCTTCATATAGCAAGACTTTTTTTTTTTTTAGGGGGTTGAGTTTTTGTGTTTGGTGGTGGTGGTGTTTTCTCCCCTGCAATTTATGATCTTGAGCAGTGTGAGAAGCTGGAAAGGGGGGAGGGGTGGGATAAAAACAATCTTTAGAATATAAAGCCTGGTGCCGTCCTTGCCCTGATGAGTGAGCAGTGAAACTGGTTCGTTTGTGGTAGTTTGGCAGACTCACAAACACCAAGGTAGGAGTAGCAGCTGTGGCTGGTTGGAAGCTGCTGCAGCTCACACTGAGCTCTGAGTTGATCCGTTCAGACTCCTGGGAAATAAAGCTTCCATGTTGTTGCTTTCCTCATCCTGTCTGTCTGTTTTTGTAGGCAGTCGTACAACGGACATCAGTCTCCTCTTCATTGGGAATCTTTCCTGAAGTGGAAGGGACCAAGAGGTGACTGTCCGAATGCTTTCATGCAACCCACTTTTGCTGCTCCCTGCTGGGTTCAATGGCAGCTGACAACTGTGGTTACAGCTATGGAGGGGTGCTGGCAGGCAGGAGATGCCACCTGTGCTTACTTCCAGGCTCAGGTAAGCCTGAGATCTGCTGCACCTGAATGCATAGCCATGCCTTTGGGTTATAACACAGCCCCCGCCCAAGAATCGGCCAACAGTAGGAGCTGAGTAATTTTAATAGTTAATTGTAATGCTATTGTGGCCTGAGCAGAACAGAAATAATCAGGCTTGAAACAAACAAAAAAACCCAAAAGCAACATAGTGTTATTTTAGAATAAAAGCACATGTAGCTGAACTAATACTCCTGACGAGCAAGGACATGGATTTCTCGCAGGGCATCCTGCAGTCCTGTAGGGAAGAAGTGACCTTATTTGCATTTTTCTTGTTGAATTGCTGTCGGGATTTCTGCAGCACGGCAAGAGAAAATTCCTTCAGGAGAACATGGAAATATCACAGCACTAACGCAATATCCTTCAACTAGGTTCCTTTTCCTCAGCCATCCTTTGCCCCTTGCACTGCCATCTGGCCAACCACCCAGCACTAAACAACGGGTCCGCTTCTCTCATGCAATTCTCATCCTTTTTCTTACAATATATTGTGAAAGCAGCAGGCCATGAATACAGTACAGAATGTCCATGAACTAAATATTAAAAATGGTTTACTTTTTCCTTTGTATTTCAAAAGCATTGAAATTGTGCCTTCCCCCACTTCCAGAACAATCTGTGATCCTCCCTACATGCTCCTGCCCTTCCTTCCCAGCCTTTTTTACAATCAGAAGAAGGAGCTACCCTCGCCTTGCACTTGTGCATTTGAGTGCTCCTTTCTAAGGTCAGCATTTTGAATTTGAAGTCTATGATTTTAGACGTTTCTATCAGGAGCATTTTCAATTCTAATCATGTTCTCTAAATTGCTTAGACTCTTTC